GAAAAATGAATAAACAGCTTGAATATTTGATTTCTACACGTGGGCGGGAATTAAACGCCCCTTTCTGCTGATTGGTCAGCCGAAGATCAAACCGTGCCGTCATCAGATCTTCTGCAGTATCACGCAGCAGAATAATAGTCCTCTGCTGCTGCAGTTAATTACCCATTTTATTGCAACTACATTTCATATTTTTCTCATCAAACAGACTAATGAATAGCTCGACACAACTCGTATCATTCGATCATTCGTTGATCGAGGGCTTTCTTCTGTTTAGACCAGCGGTTCTTAATGTGATAGGGGTTCCGCGAAATAATTAGCTATAGCCTAAAGTATTTCCAGACTATAAAGTCGCTTTTTTTATCATGATACATAGGCCTACTGTGATTTATTCCAAAGTGACTTATATGATGCATGGAAAAAATCCAAGTGAACATCAATCAGTACTCAATATTAATTTAAACTGCTTTAAATATGACTGCTGCTTATTTCCTGTGCACTTCTGCGCTTGACTGTAGTCGCGTCTGTCTGCTTATTGAGTTTATTTAACCCATCGCAATTTATTGGAACTGTGTGAACTAGAGTGACTACTCACCTTAATGTTGTTGTAAAGGCTTATTACTTAATAACACAAACATTTCCTGCTCACACTTGCCAATTTAATGGCAGAGAATGGTGACTTGAGGTTTTGTTTTTTTGTTTTTAAGCGGATGCATATCTGTCGTAAAATAATCATATGCATCTCGTGGCGTATATTCTAAGCATTCTGAAGGTATACTGATATATTATAAGCCTTACAAATAATAAACATGTGAACAACTGCACTCGGATTTCCTAGCAATCATGCCCAGTGTGAAAGAACCCTTAGGCCTCAATGATATGCATTAGCTACTGTACAGTCAATAATAAACAATTTGTGAAATACTGTCATAAACCTATGCTTAAATTACACAGGACTCAATGGAGACTGGTTTCTCCCAAGGTTTTTTATCCACTTGTCACCACCGGAGTTTGCCACTGTCGCCTTTTGACTTGCTTAGTTGGAGGCGCCTAATGATCAGCAATATTATGGACTTGATTGCACAGACACTATTGGAAGAGAATTGAAATGAGCTGGATGATGACATCATTGAATCAACAATGAACTGACTTTAACTGAAAACTCTCTGTTTACTAATGTCCTCTTTTTAGAGCTGCTTTACAGCAGAACTTAATTTTGTCTGCATAATTGAATCAATATTTTCCTGTTTAACACTGTAAACCTGCTTTGACGCAATCTGTATTGTATAAAGTGCTATATAAATAAAGGTGACTTGACTTGAATGGATACGCATCAAAGCCGATGTTCCAAATCCAATGTCTTGTTGCCTAATAGAGCATGAAGTACATTACAAACAGAGCATCTAGCATCCAGGTACAATATTAAAACTAATATAGCTAAATAAAACAGACATTTAAGATTATTAATTATTATATAATTATATAATAATTATTAATTATAATAAGTTACTATAATGAAGCACAATTATAATGAAGCAAGGATGTTTAATCCTGGAGAAGCACAGCACTTCACACATTTTGTATTGTTTTGTACACCTGATTTGATCCGTGAACTAAATTGAGTGTCATATGAGAGTGACACAGAAAATGTGCGATGCTGTGCGTCCCCAGAATCAGGACTGAAAACCACTGGTTAACAGCATTTTTTCTTAGGAATAAAATGACACATATGTGATATATTTACAAATTAACTGATATTGAAACAAAAGCAAATAACAATCTTGTAATTTGGAATGAAATTCTTTTTTGAGAATATTGTGTTCATTTAAATTCATAAATTTTGTGTAACTCTTATTTGCCAAAATTGTACTGTCAGTGGTAAAAAAAAAAAAAAATTTAAGTATTAAAATTCTGGCATTTTTGGTTTTCTCATATTGATTTTAGCAAACATTTAACTTTGCTCAAATCAATATTTACAGTAGCTTCACATTCACATTATCAATAAAATCTGTGTTATAACTCCAAAAGTTCACCTTCACGAGTGGCAAGGATATGCCAGTGACAGAGGACGAGTCCATAAACCTCTTCAGGTCTTGGTGAAGAAATTCAAACACCAAGTAAAGCTTATTTTCTGTGTGTATCACATCACGCAACCTGTAGGTGAATAAACAGCCCTGTAAGACTCCAGAAGCATTAGGGCAGTTTTTCTAAAACTGCCTGTACACTGACTGAGTTTGACTCTGCATTATGATGTGGACACAAGTTATGAAAAATGCAATCATTCAGGGCTCAGTTTCCCAAAAGCATCATAATCCTATATTGATCGTAGGTCAATTGGTGACAACTGTTTCTACGATCAACTTAAGTTTACGATGCTTTTCGGAAATGCAACCCAGGACTAGACACTGTACATACTTGACTATGTTTGGGTGATTGAGCTCTTTTAGCAGAGAGATCTCACGTATGGCGGTGCTGGGAACACCTTCAGTCTCTCTGAAATCAAACAAATAATCATATGTCAATCAAAGACGACGTGCATTTAAAGGGGTCATATGATGCGATTTCAAGTTTTCCTTTCTCTTTGGAGTGTTACAAGCTGATTGTGCATAGATAAGATCCTTGAAGTTGCAAAGACTAAAGTCTCAAAACCAAAGAGATATTCTTTATCAAAGTTAAGACTCTGCCACGCCCCCCTAAAACGGCTCGTTCTAACACGCCCCCACATATCTACCTCACTATGTGGAAATATTTGCATAATGCCGCCCAAATGTGCACGCAAAGAAAGAAGATCTTTAAAAAAGCATCATATGACCCCTTTAAGACAAACATCTGTTTACATGACTACTGAACATCATCTCAGTTTATAAAATACCCCCTACGTCTCCGACGGCTCAGTGTATTTGGGTAATACGTCATTTAAGGTTAAATACTTTTAAAGTTAATGACACCGTATGCATTAACTAATGTCAACAAAGTGAAACTTCATCATCTGTTTGTAAACGAACATTAAAATGTGTAAATCTGGATGATCGACATCAGCAGTGCAACAGCTTTGACAGAACGCCTTTCTGAGGCGAAGTTAAACACCTAAATTACGTAACATAAGTTTTATGAATCATAAATAATATACATGTACGTTAGAGGCAGGCACTAAGTTACAATTTAGAGTGTGACTGTATGCAAGATATTTAAATCTAAGACACTAATGACACAAAAATCTGACACACAAATTTAATACAAGAAAAAGAAACTAATGACAAACACTTACGTGTCTAACCGAATTTTCTTTAGGGCAACGGTCTCTCCGGTGATTTTATTCTTGGCTTTATAAACAACCCCGTATGTTCCCTCTCCAATCTTCTCGACTTTCTGAAAAGACTCCATGTCAAACTGCCCCTTTTCCGGGGAAAACTGCCACTCTAAATCTACTTAAAACAGCGGTTGTACAGAGAGAGTACTTTTAGTATCCAAACGGCAATCAAAATAATTACAATCAATTATTTGATCTTAAAAATACTGACGACTGAAAAGCATGTCACAACTTATTATCAGTACCGCCAGTTCCCGCGTTCCATACAGCACGCCTTCGCTACAACGCACAAAAACAAGCCCCGCCCTCTGGCCGAACGAGAAGTCCAGCCTTCTAAACCAATCAACTGAGTGAAACAACAAAGCCCTCCCACTTGACGTAAAACCAACCACACATAAAACTTCGTTCCGTATATGTCTAAACCAATGCACTGAGGGGGAAAAATAACGTCCGCCCTCTTATGGTTTACAAAGGGTGCTGGAGCTCAAAGCCTCAAACGAACACAATAACACCCAGTTGAAATGATAATAATAGCACATTGGCAAAACTGGCGTGGCCGACTCTATTCATTACCCGGCGATAGACTGCTGCTTTCAAACGCTGACGTGCCTTTTTGTGCGCCGCGCGCGCTCTAGAGACACAAAGCCCCGTTCACACCGCCAGCGACACACAGCGACAGAGCGACATAATCCCATTCATTTTCAATGGAGAGCTGGCGACTTCCGGCGACACGAGCGACAGTGACCGTTGGTGACGGGATGTGGGCGTGTCAAGCGATGCGAGTCAAGCGACAAAAGTTCAGAATTCTTCAACTTTATGCAAATAAGCAGCGAATTTCGCGAGCGACAACCAATGGGAGTGAAGTCAGTGAAGAGCACGTGATTCATCTGCTGTAGTGGAGTGTTACGAGGGTAACTAGGCAACCAGTAGTGGGAACGCCCACTAGCGACAAGCAGCGAAAAAGTCGCTAGCTGTGTGAACGGGGCTTTACGTTATATGCTTAATAAAATATAGTTTCAAAGCAGCTTCACAATAATTAACTGTGAAATAATAGTGTTGATGTTGCAAAATTCATAACAGTATGGAACGAATTTCAGCTGTAAAGCTCTGCAGAAGAAAATTGTCATTATTCAGCTCCATTTAGTTGAATGTTCGTTCATTTAGTTTAACAACAGGGTCAATGTTGCAAAGTTCATTAATTGTGAAATTCCATGAAATAAACCTGAAATTGTAATGTTAAAATGTAAATATTAGACAGACTGTACTGTTGGATATTTAGGTGTCTAGTCAGAGGTTTTGTGGAAGTAGTATCTGCCACTCCCCTCGATAGGAATGAGTTTAGGAAAAAAGAAACTGGCAAACTGTGTTAAATGTATTTTAACCATTTAGTGAAATTCATATGGATGTACAGGTGCATCTCAATAAATTAGAATGTCGTGGAAAAGTTCATTTATTTCAGTAATTCAGCTCAAATTGTGAAACTCGTGTATTAAATAAATTCAATGCACACAGACTGAAGTAGTTTAAGTCTTTGGTTCTTTTAATTGTGATGATTTTGGCTCACATTTAACAAAAACCCACCAATTCACTATCTCAACAAATTAGAATATGGTGACATGCCAATCAGCTAATCAACTCAAAACACCTGCAAAGGTTTCCTGAGCCTTCAAAATGGTCTCTCAGTTTGGTTCACTAGGCTACACAATCATGGGGAAGACTGCTGATCTGACAGTTGTCCAGAAGACAATCATTGACACCCTTCACAAGGAGGGTAAGCCACAAACATTCATTGCCAAAGAAGCTGGCTGTTCACAGAGTGCTGTATCCAAGCATGTTAACAGAAAGTTGAGTGGAAGGAAAAAGTGTGGAAGAAAAAGATGCACAACCAACCGAGAGAACCGCAGCCTTATGAAGATTGTCAAGCAAAATCGATTCAAGAATTTGAGTGAACTTCACAAGGAATGGACTGAGGCTGGGGTCAAGGCATCAAGAGCCACCACACAAAGACGTGTCAAGGAATTTGGCTACAAAAGTTGGTTAAATGACCATGGTGTTGGTGTGCTTGACTGGCCAGCAAACTCACCAGACCTGAACCCCAGAGAGAATCTATGGGGTATTGTCAAGAGGAAAATGAGAAACAAGAGACCAAAAAATGCAGATGAGCTGAAGGCCACTGTCAAAGAAACCTGGGCTTCCATACCACCTCAGCAGTGCCACAAACTGATCACCTCCATGCCACGCCGAATTGAGGCAGTAATTAAAGCAAAAGGAGCCCCTACCAAGTATTGAGTACATGTACAGTAAATGAACATACTTTCCAGAAGGCCAACAATTAACTACAAATGTTTTTTTTATTGGTCTTATGAAGTATTCTAATTTGTTGAGATAGTGAATTGGTGAGTTTTTGTTAAATGTGAGCCAAAATCATCACAATTAAAA